GTTCGACAACCATTAGCATTTTAAACTAAATATATTTCATTATAAAAAAAAAACACAAATAATCTGATAAACAATTTATGTGCACAAGAAGTTTACAAGTGGAAATGGAAAGATTAAACAGTAGTTAAGAGAGGAGATATCCAGAAACTCAAGCCCTTCGGGATTTGGAGGCTTGTAACTTCCTAATTAGATACTCACCCAACCCAGAGCCTGCTTCCACTATTCTAGTATCTCTTCTAACATCTTTCTTCAAAATCTTCTCTAAAATTTCACATAACTTTACAGTGTCCTCAACTTCACAAACTCCAGATATAATCATCTCCCAAGTTTCAGAATGAGGGGCTTTCCCATGCTTTAGCATGTCTTCAAGAACGCTACACGAATCGTCGATTCTGCCAACGTTAATGAAACCCTTAACCAAAGTATGAATGACAGAGAAATGTGGGCAAAAACCCTTTAATGTCATCTCCTCAACATAATCCTTTGCCAATTCAAACATTCCTTGATCACATAATCCATTAGTCAAGCTCTGGTAAGACACTAAGTTAGGCAAACAACGGTTCGACTGCATATCCTCCAAAATCTTACAAGCATCGAGAGCGCGCCCTTCTCTGCAAAATCCCGTTATAACTGTATTGTAATGAGCAACATCAGGATTGCAACCCTTAACCTTCATTCTACAGAGAAGTTTATAAGCTTCTCTCAGCTTTTTCTTCCTACATAAACTATTTAACAAAGTGGCATAGCTCAATGTGTCTGGAACGTAGCCTTTGTTTAACATATCTTCTAGCAAGTCGACGGCACCAATCACTTGATTCTTCCTGCATAGACCCTGCATTAATATCCGATACGACTCGACATCTGGAACGACATCTCGTTTGAACATTTTGTTGAACAGAGTGTAGGCAATGCTAAGATCTCCATTCCAACAGAATACACGCATGAGGATGTTGTAAGACTTGGTGTTGGGCAACACACCATGATGACGGGCATTCTTGAAAAGATCAAAAGCTGGCCGAATGAAGTTACGGTGAGAAACCAAAATTTCTAGTATGCGGTTCAACTGTTTGGACGATGGCGTACAGCCAAACTCGATCATAGTATAAAAGGTTTTGAGAGCTTTATCTGGTAAATCAGCTTCACCATAGATTTTGATTATGTAGGAGAAAACAGTTGGAGAGAGAGGGTAGCCTCTAGACTTGAAGCTAAGAAGAAGATCATCAATAAGAGAGAAGTACTTGGAACGCCCTAGCTTGAGGATAAGAACGAGAAAAGAGGAAGACGATGGGCGAAAATGGGGTTGACGACAAGCATAATCGAAAATTTCCTTGGCAAGAAGAGGATCAGATTGGGAAGCAATGAGTTTCTGGACCCTACATGGAGACCCAATTGAGAAATCTGGTTGCTGTTCAAGGTGTTTATGGTTTATGTTGGTGGCACTCAGAGTTTTCAATTCGTTATGAACATTTAAGTCTGGTTGGTAAAGAGAGGATGATGAGGAGATTGAGTTGTGAAGCAATGGAGTTTTGGGGGCAAGATGAACAGCAACAGTTTCTAGAGTCTTATAGTTGCAGGGACGAAGAAGGTGTTGCCGCATAATTTCAGCAGCAGTTCACAGAGGCCAGATGAATTACGTAAATGTTTTAGAAGAATTTAACTACAAGAGGCTCAGTTCTATATTTTCCTGCAACCTGCAAATTCAACTACTCCGTTGGAAAGACAAAATTCATTGGCACTGTTTAGAAGAACAATAGGAATTAAAGGAAGTCTAGGCTGAGGTTTCCACCAGCTAATTGAAGAAGATAAACAAAAACTCAAAAATCACAACCATCCAGGAATTCTAAGAATCAAAATTTCATAAGATTAACACTGATCATCAGTCTCTTAGCAGATTCTCACAATTAAGGTGCTGGAAAAGTGCTTACAACTGCGATGAACATAGGCACAAGTGAGAATTTCGCCGCGCGGAACGGACTTTCTTCAAGTCTTCAACCTAGTGCACAAGGAAATGGAAATGAAAGACTCGATCTCTAACTTTACAAAGAGAAATGAGAAATACGCGGCTCACCTACTCGCTTCGGTAGATTCTTCCATACCTCAAACTCGTGTGGATGGGAAATTGATGCATAATCGGCGAGCCCTTCCTCGTCAGTGATTTTTGGTTTTGTGTTTGCGGTGTTAGGGATTTCGAATTTGTGAAGATCAAAAAACAAAACTAAGAATGAGCAGAGAGAGATCAGAAGTCAGGGCAGATGATATACGGCGTCAGGGAAGCCGCGGCGGCGGCGACTGTGAGGGCTTGGAGGAGGAAGATAAAAGGAAGATGAATAACTTTTTTTATTTATTTTTTTTTAATTAAGTTTTGTGCATTTTTTAAATAATTTTTTTTATGTGAAATAAATTTAATTAAAACTTATAATAATTAAGTTAACAATCAGAGATTGATAAATTAATTAATTAAAATTTAAAATTTGAGACGAATGAATCAAATGCACGTAGAAAAATGGTTAAATTCATGATGAATTTAACTAGAGATATTTATGGGTGGGGACGATAATCTTTTCATCCCATTCCTATCACCTATTTCATCCTCTATTCTCACACAATTTTTCATTTATTCTTGTTGTGATCGGGCCGAGCTTCCAAGTTGTGGGAATCGAGCTCCCGCAAGTAAGTTTTCTCGGCTTATTATTCTTTAAAAAATAATTATTTATTAAAAGAAAGTAGTAAAAAAAAATCTTAATAAATCAATATATTTTATAAGCCCACCGTTCATATAATATCTAAAAATTTAAATTTTTATATTAAACAATTAAAAAAAATATACTAACATTTAATTTTAATTTTATAATATATATATTTATTTATTTATTTATTAATTAAGTATGTGTCTCGATATATTTGTATTAAGTGAAACAGAGAATATAATCCACCCTCCAACCTCATTTATGTAACGAAAAAAAAAAAAAACAAAAAAAGTTCCTCATTCGCTCTTCCGTTCCTTGTCTAGGCATGGAATCTCCTCCAAGGGTTTCCGTGCAAGTAAAATAGATATTTACAGATTCAAACTTAGAAAGTTGTATCCACGTTCACAATAAACTTTCAATAAAAAGAGAAAAAAAAATTAATTTATACTCCTCAAAGTTGTTGAACACAACTCTCTGTGTGAAACACTTGCACACTTTTATCTTGAGATGATGAACTAAGTAGAGTAGAGGGTATTTATACTAGTCAATCTATTTCTAAAATTTAGCAGTGATTTTCCTAAAATACCTAAATCATTGTATTTCTAAAATTCCTAAATCATAAATATAATTATACATGGTCGTTGGGCTTATCACTATTGGGCTAGTGATCATATTTTAACAAAACTTTAATCAATTTAAACTATTTATTAAAATTTTATTTTGAAATTGTTAATGCATAATTTTGCCCCCCTATATTAGACGGAATTCACTAGGCATAAGTCATCCTTACCACTTATTTATGTTCTCGTTCCTTCTTAAGTCTCCGTTTATTTCTGTAATTTTTGTAGAGAAAGAACAAAAAATTTACTGTAATTGAGTTGATGAATTAAGATAGGATATTTTGGAGATATATTTTAATAATTAATTAGAGTATATATGAGATGTTTTGGGAAGTTGTTAGCAGTATATTTTATCTTAGATTTTGATTAGCGGTATATTTTATTTATTTATAAGATTTAGTTACTTATATATTTTTTCTATTTTTAGATATTAGTTGATAGTTTGTATCTTATTGAAACGTGCTAAACATGATAAAGATCATACTTTCCATCCCTCGTTCTCAACATGATGGTTCCGTACTTTTTTTTTTTCATTTATTGTTCTTTTAAAAAATAATTATTTTAAAGTAAATGAATTTTTTTTTTAACATATATAATGTTTATAGGGACGTAATTTTTAAAAATTCAATATATAAAGTAAAGTTGGTAATTAGGAGAAGATGAGAAATATAATTTCTTTCTGACCCATTTAATAATGGAAAAAAATGATTCAACTCGCTTCTTCATTTACCGTCTAAAAAGGAGAATCCCCTCTAAATTTGAAGCTGATTAATGGTCGGGTGGTAAAATAGACGTCTGTAGTCTAAATGATAGGGTTCTAAAATTGAAACTATTAGTGGTCTGGAGGTAAAATAGACATATGTAGTCTAAATAAAAGGGTTCTAAATTTGAAGTTGATCATGGGCAAGAGGTAAAATAGATATCACTAGTTTAAACAAGGGTTCTAAATTTGAAGCTGATTAGTGGCTCGAGAGATAAAAATAGACATCTCTAATCTAAATGAGAGGGTTCTAAATTTGAAGCGGATCAGTAGCTCGTGAGGTAAAATAGACATCTCTAGTCTAAATGAGAGGGTTCTAAATTTGAAGCGATGAGTGGTCTGGAGGTAAAGTAGACATCTCTAGTCTAAACAAGATGGTTCTACATTTGAAGCGGATCATGGTCGGGAGGTAAAATAGACATCTCTAGTTTAAACAAGGGTTCTAAATTTGAAGCTAATTAGTGGCCCGAGAGATAAAATAGACATCTTTAATCTAACGAGAGGGTTCTAAATTTGAAGCTGATCAGTGGCCTGAGAGATAAAATAGACATCCCTAATCTAAACAAGAGGGTTAAAAATTTGAAGTCGATCAGTGGCCCAGGAGGTAAAATAGACATCACTAGTCTAAACGAGAAGGTTCTAAATTTGAAGCCAATCAAGCTCAGGAGGTAAATATAAACATTTTTAGTTTAAACGAGAGGGCTCTAAATTTAAAGCTGATCAGTGGTCCGAGAGATAAAATAGACCTCTCTTATGTAAAGCAGATAAGTGGCTAGGAGGTAAAATAGATATCTCTAATCTAAACGAAAGGGTTCTAAATTTGAAGCCGATCAGCGTCCGGGAGGTAAAATAAACATCTCTAAATAAAGGAGAGGGTTCTAATTAGACCTCTTTGGTCTAAACGAAAGGGTGGGGTCGAACAATGGTTGAAGGCGAAGAGAGTGATCTAGGCGCCACTATCTCCTTCTCCACCCATCATTTGTTTCAGATATGGTAGACGCGCAGACACGACGAGGGGCTCATAGCTTCTTGATTCATCCCATCACCAAGATAAGACCCAAAACAAACGCCCATCTCCAAAACCCTCAAGCTTTCACCCTCCAAAAATGGCTTCTCTCGCTCACCCAACCCCCTCTCTCCCTTCTCTTCTCCCATCTCTATCTCCTAAAACCCCTTCTTCTATCAAACTCCCATTCCCTTCAAGATCCTCTCCCTCCCAGTTTCTTGGAGCCCAGATCTCTCATCACATTTCCCCTTCCTCTGTTCCTTCTTCTTCTTCCTTCAAATTTACCGTCTCTTCTAAGGTAACCCATTATCTTTTAATGGGGTTTTTATATTTTTTGAGTGTTTGTTCTTACATTTTGGGTTTGTTTTTTGATGGGTAGGTGAGTAAAGGCCAAGCCCCACCTGCTTTCAATTTGAAAGATCAGGATGGACGGAATGTGAGCTTGTCTAAATTTAAAGGGAAGCCTGTGGTGGTGTATTTCTATCCTGCTGATGAAACTCCTGGTTGCACTAAACAGGTACTATTTCTTTGCTGTAAAATGTGATTCGAATGTGGTTAGTCTTTGAGCATGGTCCAATGTGGCTCTTGGCAGTCTACGACGCATGAGCCGTGATTTGGTTGTTTGGGTCATAAGCTTAGTCTTTGAGCATGAATTTCGTAAAAAGTTGAGTGGTCCAATGTTGCTGAGGCTCGTTGCTAGTGTATAGCACGTGAGTGGTGATTTGGTTGTTTGGGTCATAAACTTAGTCTTGGAACATGAATTTAGTAAAAAGTTGAATGGTCTAGTGTTGCTGAGGCACGTGAGTAGTGATTTGATTGTTCAAGTCGATAAGCTTAGTCTTGGAGCATGAATTTAGTAAAAAGTTGAATGATCCAATGTGGTTGTTGCCAGTCTACCACGCATAAGTGGTGATTTGGTTGTTTGGGTCGATAAGCATAGTCTTGGAGAGTGAATTTAGTAAAAAGTTGAATGGTCTAGTGTTGTTGAGGCTCGTTGCTAGTGTATAGCACATGAGTAGTGATTTGGTTGTTTGGGTCATAAGCTTAGTCCTGACGCATGAATTTAGTAAAAAGTTGAATGGTCCGGTGTTGCCCAGGCTCTTGTTGCTAGTGTATGGCACGTGAGTGGTGATTTGGTTGTTTGGGTTGATAAGCTTAGTCTTGGTTTATGAATTTGGTAAAAAGTTGAATGGTCCGGTGTTGCCCAGGCTCGTTGCTAGTGTATAGTACGTGAGAAGTGATTTGGTTGTTTGGGTCGATAAGCTCAATCTTCGAGCATCCAACTATTGCCAAAAAAATCGAGTTTAGCAAAAGAATGTTAAACGACTAACGTTTTTTGAGCTTTGAAAGCACGTGTTTAGCAACGTTTTTTACTTTTGAGCTTTGAAAGCGTGTGTCAAGTTAGAACTCACTGAAGCTGAGTTTGGATCTAGGATGGGAAATTGACATTTTTAACAATTGTTTCGGTAAAAAAAACATTAAGGATATATTTAGACCGACTTCTAAGTGCTTAAAAAGTACTTAAAACTCGATTCAAACCGGTCTAAAGTGTTGTCTCGGCAACATTTTTTTTTTACTTTTGAGCTTTGAAAGCACGTGTCGAGTTAGAAATCACTTGCGTTTTTTACTTTTGAGCTTTTAAAGCATGTGTCAAGTTAGAAATCACTTACATTTTTTACTTTTGAGCTCTGAAAGCACGTGTCAAGTACTTTTGAGCTTTGAAAGCACGTGTCAAGTTAACTAAAACTCGAATTTGAATCGAGCAAATAGGACGAAAAATTAACATTCGTGCAGGCGTGTGCTTTCAGAGATTCTTATGAGAAGTTCAAGAAAGCAGGAGCTCAGGTTGTAGGCATAAGTGGCGATGATTCATCATCACACAAGGTAATTCATCATCCAAAATTTGTATTTGATCCAACGGCTATGATTTATTTGAAACGTGTATTTGATCTAACGGCTATGATTTATTTGAAACATTTATGGGAATTGTAGGCTTTTGCAAAGAAATATAGACTTCCATTCACATTGCTAAGTGATGAAGGAAACAAAGTGAGAAAAGAATGGGGAGTTCCTTCTGATCTCTTTGGTGCATTACCTGGTCGACAGACTTATGTTCTCGACAAGAACGGCATCGTGCAGCTCGTTTATAATAACCAGTTCCAACCTGAGAAGCATATCGACGAGACGCTCAAATTACTTCAGACCCTTTAAATCTCTCTTGTTTATAGCTAGGATGTTTGTTTGTTCTTATCGTTCGAGAGGCAATTATTTGATTTTGAATCGCTAATAAGAGCGAAGAATGATGATCGTTCTTGTTTTTGGTTGAAATTATGTATATTTGGATCATATTGTGCAATGTCTTTCTAGTTTGATATGCTTTAAATCAAATTGTAGGATAGTATGAACTTTTGCATGTGAGAATCGAGATGATCGACCGTTCTTTTTACCAGTTCAAGAGCAAAACGTTCAACTAATCCTTTCACAAGTTCATGACCCGACTTATACCAATCTTTTTGAAATGGGTTTGAGTTAAAATTACTATAAACTTTTTACGGGTTCAAAATGACACCGTTATAAATAATTTTTCAAGTTTATGAGTAAATTGCTATATGAAATCTCTCTCTTGTTTATAGCTATGAATTTCATCGTGGAATTAGAAGGATGTTTGTTTGTTCGTATCGTTCGAGAGGTAGTTATCTGATTTGGAATCGCTAATAAGAGCGAAGAATGATGATCGTTCTTGTTTTTGGTTTACTACTCGAAAGTAAAATTATGTATATTTGGATCATAATCCATTCTACTTTAATATGCTTTAGATCAAATTGTATGATTGTATAAACTTTTGCACGTGAGAATCAAATTATATGGATAAGGTTTGGTGTCTTATCCTAGTAGCACTATTGATACGACCCACTTTGTAATCTACAAACGATTTGATCCAAATCGTTCATGTGTAGACATGTAAGTGGGATATCCTATACAATGAGTTTGTATAAGACTGGACCAAGAAATATTTATTCTCTCTTTCTAAATCCGTTAATTAAGAAGATTAATATTTCACATGATGATCATATGCGACTCGATCTTAATCCTGAGTGAGTTATGAACTCCTGTTCGTGAAAGCTTGTCCTTTAATTTACATGAGTGATAATGACTCTTTTAACCTATTTAATATGCCTACTATTGTTGGGACTTTCCAAATAGGGAGTTGGGAATATAATATCATGAGATGAATTCACTCTTAGGAAAGTAAATGAGTTGTTCTCTTCCGTACTGATTTCGAACTTGAACAATGGGACCCACCCTCTCATTGGCCCGAGAGGGACTTGGTTTATGATTGGATCATAAACAAATTGTTCACGAGAGAATCACGTACTTAAAGTGAAAGATGTAATTACAGGGGTAAAACTGACTTTTGACCCAACTATAATTATAAACAACTCGTGAAGGATCGACTTACTTGTAATGATTATATCAATGGACATAACTTGTACTACAGTGCATAAGAGTGCAATTCTAGGTCTATAGTGGAGTGATTTATAGTTAATAAATAAAAATTGATTAATTAAAGAGTATAATTAATTAATTTTATATAATGGGAGCTTATAATTGGTAGGTCCATAAGATCTCATTGCTAGCTCAAAATAACACTAAAATATTCAATTTATTTGAAAGAAAATTTGAAGTATTCAAATTGATATTTAATATATTAGATATATTAAATATAAAGAAGAAAATAAATTTAATTTGAAAAGTCAAATTAATATTTAATATATTAGATATATTAAATAAATGAAAAAAAAATATTTAATTGGAAAAGTTCAAATTAATATTTAATATATTAGATGTTAAATATAAATAGAGAATAATATATTAATTTTGAAAGTTTAAATTAATATTTAATATATGAAATATATTAAAGAAAAGTTATATTTATTGTATTTAAAACTATTAAATATTAAATTAATTAATGTATTTAATAAATTAAATAAAAATGTATTTAAAATTTGGATGAGATCTAAATTAATTAAATATATTAGGATATCTCATAATATACTAATATATTAAATATGTAAATATATTATTTGACAAATATTATCCGGTAGTCTCTATAAATATAAATGGATTCTTGGGTTGAGTCAAATAGACATGTTTTAATTCTTAATAAAAACCAAGACGGTTCCCAATGCTTTCGCCCAATGCTTTCGCTACGTAGATGAAAAATTCATTCCCTTCGGTACTAGATTCCTACGGGAGGCGCAAATGGAATTGAATGGAGGAGAAAATGATAAAGAAGCCGGTTCGAGAGCATGATCAATTACACTGAGATTGAGATATGATCCACAGACTCGTACGGGAAGCGCAAATGGAATTGGAGGGAGGAGAAAGTGATAAAGAATTCGATCCATGAAGATGATCAACTATATTGGAACTGAAATATGACCGAGACTCCTACGTGAGACACAAATAGAATTGGAGGGAGGAGAAAGTGATAAAGAACTCAGTCCGAGAGGATAATCAACTACACTGGGACTGAGATACGGCCCATACTCCTACGGGAGGCGCAAATGGAATCGGAGGGAGGAGAAAATGATAAAGAACTCGGTCCAAGAGGATAATCAGTTACACTAGGACTGAGATTAAGATACGACCCAGACTCCTACCGAAAGCTTCCTATCTAATATAATAGGATCCCACGATTCTGAATCAAGTTGCTCTTCACCTATTGATAGCCTCTACGCGCGTGTCTTAGCTCATCCCGACTCAACATCAAAGTAGTCTCGGGAGCGCCATCCAACTGAAGCCATGATCAAACATGCCAGATAAAATGAACTTCAAAAAAAAAAAAAAAAACAAAACTAGGGCACGTCCAGATAAATCTGTTTTATTAATACGGATGTATGTCTTCTTTCCACGCTTTTCACCGACCCGGTGCCTACACGGAAACTCATAACCTCTTCCTTCGCCGGTCCGGCTGCTGCATAGAAGGCTTCTTCGGATTATATGCATCTGCCGACATGCTCCAATCCAATTTTATGAGTGATTCTTCTTCCACAACAACAGTCGTTCTTCGTTCAACGCGGATTTCTCGTCTTCTTTGTCATCGTCGTCGTAATCGTTTTGTAATTTCCAGGTACACCCTGTGGAACGATATTAAACTTATTTAGCTTATGCTGGAACGCTGTTTTGTGCATTCTGATTTTGGAATTGTTCTTCCGTAATTGAGGAATTGTATTAGGGTTCGTGTTTTTTTTGTCGAAATCTTTCCCTGTTGGAGTTTTGGGCAATTCGGGTAGTTCGCCGTTGAGATAGGTATGAAGGGGCAGTCGAACCGCCTTCAGAATATGGACCCTCCTGATGATTGGGTCAATGGTTCGTGGACTGTGGATTGTATCTGTGGCGTCAATTTTGACGATGGGGAAGAAATGGTTAATTGCGATGAATGTGGTGTCTGGGTGCACACACGGTGTTCGCGTTATGTGAAGGGAGATGATATTTTTGTTTGCGACAAATGTAAGGGGAAGAACGAGAGGAACGATCGAGAGGAGACCGAGGTTGCGCAGTTATTGGTTGAACTTCCTACCAAAACCATGAGCATGGAGAGTGCATATATCTGTAATGAGCCATCCCGGCGTCCACTTAGGCTTTGGACTGACATACCAATTGAGGAAAGAGTTCATGTTCATGGTGTTCCGGGTGGCGATCGTGCTTTATTTAGCGGGTTGTCGTCGATATTTACTCCACAGTTGTGGAATTGCACTGGGTATGTTCCAAAGAAATTCAATTTTCAGTACCGGGAGTTCCCCTGTTGGGATGAGGACCGGCGCGATAACACAGACAATGAAAAAAATGAAAATTCTGCTGACAAGGGTGCTGGTGTTCTTTTCTCTTTGTCTAAGGACAATGTGTTAGCCACGCCTGTTGCAGCTTTGATTGGTGTGAGAAGCAAAGTTGAGGATGTATCATGTGACAGGAATGGTATATTGAGTGAAAAGCAGGGTGTAAGTGAGGATTTGGATAGATGTGCTGAGAATGGTGTGAGGGAGAGAAGCTTTCTTCGACCGCTCATACTACATTCTGGAAAGTGCAAAAAAGAAGACTCTTCGGTATCAAAAGATCAATCTGGGAAGATTAAGTCTACACCCTCTGATAAGGCGACAAACATGAAAAAGAGGATTGATCATGCGAAAACAGGTACTTCATGATCATACTTTCTTAATTGATATCTTAAATTATTATGAGGGAAACGTGTTCGGTTTTTCACATCAGGCACCATTTTGTTTTGTTCTGTTTTTTTTTTTTTTTTTTTTTTTTTTTTTTTTTTTTTTTTTTTTTTTTTTTTTTTTTTTTTT